TCCCTTACCTGGCTTGGTGGAGTTGCAGAGCTCCTTAGTGATGTTCGTGTAGAGAGTTTCCAGGGCGTCGAAGTTGTCCACATAGAAAACCTTTGATTTATCATGACCGGACATGATCTCCAGCTGGGTCACATTGGCTCCTTCCACTCCGATGCTGAACACGTTAACTCCTTTATCTCTCAGGGCCTTAGACGGCTCAGCCAGATTGTAACGGTCAGTGGCGTCTCCATCTGTGATCACCATGAGGATCTGAGGCACCTGCTGCTCCGCTCGCCCTCCGTGCTCAGAGCTGAAGAACTGTAAGGAATAGGTCAGAGCCCGTCCAGTGTAGGTGTCTCCATACGGGGACCGCAGAGCTGCTATTGCTTGAATAACTTCTTGTCTGGTGCTGTACTGATTCAGAGTAAAGATGGAGTTGGGGTTGGTGGAGTAGAGGATGACGCCGAAGCGAGTCAGGGCTTTTCCAACAGTGGTTTGATTGACCATGGACTGCATGAACTTCTGCATGCTTCTAAACTTGGGCAGCGTTATGCTTGTGGAGCCGTCCACCAGGAATATGATGTCTGCCTGTTCGGTCTTCTTACACTCTAGAAGCAAAGATGAAAAACTGGTCAGATGAAAGAGAAAACAAGCTTTTAGCTAAAGGAATTACTCCCTTTGTTCAGTTTCACGTTCACATGCAGCACTGATCTGAATGTTAAAGAGAAATAAGCTCTCATATTACTGAAAGCATGCTTGAAAAAACGAAATTAACAAAAAAAACATTTGGTTTGGAGGTTTTAAGGGTAACTTAAAATGTTTATGCAAGTTTTCAACCAATATTTTGCGATGAACATCCGTACTCGCGTTCTTGTGAAATGAGAAACAGCCAACAATTCACTCTCAAGATGAATCAAGACCTTATGACTGAAAAAATTTGATTGACAGATGACCGATGATATATGATTGGCCGAATTTGGGTGTTGAGGCTGATGTAGAACTAACCGGCCTGCATAAGATAACGGGAAAATTTAAAATAGAATTTTTCAAAATTTTGGTACAAAATCTTCTGATAAAGAATACATTTATATACCTATGTTTAAGCCAGAATGATCTGACATTTAAATACGATTTGTCTATGATTATAACTATGTAAGGAGGTACCTTTCCTAGCATAGTATATAAATTCAAACTGGAAAACAAATATTTTCCTTACCTCTCTCTGGATCACACAGCTCCAATGACAGCTGTCTCTCGAGATCCTTCAGGGCGTCAAAGTCCCTCTCAGCATAAATTCTGTTTGGAGATCCACTGATCTCCAGAAGCTGGGTGGTGTTGGCCTCCATCACTCCGATGGCATAGACTAGAACTCCTTTGGCCCTAAGTGCCTCTGCAGGCGCCTTAACTTCATCTTGGGCCTCACCATCGGTGATCACTACAAGCCTCTGCTGCAGTTCTGGGCGTCCTCCCTGGGCTGGACTGAAATACTGAGACACCTCCGAGATTGCTCTACCTGTGAGCGTTCCTCCACCTTTCTGCCGCATGGCGTCGACAGCCTCTAAAATGCCATTTTTGGTGAAGTATGTATTGAGGTTGAACTCTACCTCTTGGGTACTGCTGAACTGCATGACGCCGATACGAACATTGTCCTGTCCAACAAAAGACGTGCTAATGACAGATTTCATGAAGTCCTTCATTTTTTCGTAGTCTTCTGGGTAAATACTCCCAGAGCTGTCCACGAGGAACATCAGGTCACCTGGTACATCTTTACAAACTGTAGACAGATATTCAGAGATATGGGAATGAGAAACATGAAGGTGTTCAAAAGGTTAAAACATTAATCATGACCTCTAATGCGACGTTCTGACCGCTAGCAGCAGAGGCAGCAGAAGAAGTTGGTTTACATGTAAAGTCAATGGTTTAGCGCAAAAGGTCAACAGCAGGAGCAGCTGCTGCTGGAGTTTGAAAAATTGAACTTTAGCTGCTGGATGCGCCGCATCAACCAATCAGAGAAGCTGATCTGGGAGCTGGCAGGGAGTCAGACACAGCACTGCTGATGCAGAGCGCTATGATCACTCCTCTGAAACAGTTTATTAACGACTAAATTAACTTAAAATCTAGAAACATGACTGCAAAATATGTGCGCTTTTATTATGCTGGTGCAGTTTGGATTACGTACATGAAAAAAAAAATGCCTTACAGCCACTGCAAACAGTAGCGGAAAACCACGAAGAGGCAACAAGGCCTGAGGTAGCTGCTTAGACTTAGACAGATTTATTTTGTCATTTTGTATACACGAATGTAAACAAAAAGAAATTTCATTTAAAAGCTGCTGCTGGGGATTCCTGGTGACAGCCACTGATCAAAGCAAATATAGCAAAGCCGCTCTCTGCCATTGAACACAGGAGTAGCAGAAGCATCAGATGCATCTGGACACATTTTACTGGACATCTGAACTTGATGTGGATAAACATATAAAACGAAGAAGCAGAAGCTTTTTTCGCTGCTTCCAGTGCTTGCGAAAACAGTAAATTCAGTCAGCCATCTTAACGTGTTCGTGGACAAATCCTGTTGTTGAAGCAGAGCTACGAGACATAATATTGGAAGACAGCGTGGTAATCTGGATGAACTGACCATGTTTTCAGGTGGACTTTCTCACTTATAAATGTGTTAAAACTAGTGTTGCACAGATACCGATACCAGTATCGGATGGGGGCCCCGATACTGCCCTAAAATGGTGGTATCGGTATCGGCGAGTACCAACAAATAGGGCACCGATACCATTTTGAGAGCTATAAGTTTCTTCAACTATTGTCACCCACTCCTGGTAGGCAATAAAAAGTTCTACTGGATTCACTTTGTATTAGATTTTTTCCTGCTTCACAAAGGTAGGCAGCAGCTCGACAAAGCCATGATGGCAATTATTTTACATTATTATGGTATCGGTATCGGCCGATACTGCACAGCCAGGTATCGGGCCCAAAAAATGGCATCAGCGCAACATTAGTTAAAACCACTTTTTACCCACTGATCACAGCAAATATAGCTGCCATTGTTACAGGCAAAGAAAGGATAGGGTAGCTCCGCCCAACGCGCATCAGCAACATGCTTCAGCTGCACGTCAAAACTAAACTTGTAGAAGCGTCAAAAACGAAGCAGCAAGCGCGTTTTTGCTGCCTCTGCTGCGTGTGGTCTGAACGTAGCATAAGAGCTTCCTGATTGGTCAAACTTTAAGCTGCCCATAAAAAGACCTCAACCCCTTCCAAGAAAAATCAGTGTGGAGATTTGCTCTTACCTTCGGTAGTACAAATGTCAGTGATTATATCGTCCTTGATTGGATTTAGAGCATCGAAGTCGTTGACGAAGAACGTCCTCTTAGGGTCATTGGAAATCTCTTCCAGCTCTTGCACGTCTGCGCTCTTCACTCCGATGGCGTAGACGGTAACACCTTGCGCCCTCAGAGCTTCCGCAGGAGCCTTGACTTCATCTGAAGACTTACCATCAGTAATAACCACCAGGTAATCAGGAACTTTGTGTCCGCGGGTCTTCATGGCGGTCTTAAACAGCTGACTCATGAACGTCAGGGCTTTTCCAGTCTCTGTACCGCCTCCCACCTGTTGGATCCTCTGTACCGCTTCCTCCAATGTCTTCTTATCCGTGTAGGTCGTCAGATCAAATTCAAGGGTTGGTGAATCAGCATATTTTGCAACACCTAAACGGACGTACTGTGGCCCAATACGGAAAGTTTCTATAAACTCAAGGAGGAACTTCTTCATGTCAACAAAGTCAGCTGGATAAATACTCCCTGACTGGTCAATGAGGAAGAAGATGTCGGCTTCCTCTGTCTGAATGCAACCTGCAAAGGAAACGCAGAGATTAGCCTTGTTCCAATCAGTTGATGAGAGCTGGAAGACTTGTAAATATTGCAGATTTTATAAAGTGGTTCTGCACACCTTCTTTGATACTGGAGCTCCTCGTACCGACTGAGACCGCCTGCCGGATGATGTTGTAGCAGAGGGTTTTCTGCAGGCTCTGCTCCAGGGATTTCAGTTTGGTAAAGCTATCCACAATAAAAACATGTTTCTGTGGAGGGTAGGAAGCCATCATCATCAGCTCTTCATAGTTGGCATTTTCGACTCCCACTGAATAAACCGTAACTCCAGCACGGCGAAGTTCAGTTGCTTCTTCGCTCACAGCGTCTTGGGAATCTCCATCAGTGATTACCACCGCCACCTGCTCCACACCTTTATCCTTCCTGCTTCCTTTCTCTGTGACAAAGATGTTTTCTCGTGTGAAGTTCAAGGCGGCCCCCGTGTTTGTACCTCCCCCACGGTAGGGCAGAATTTTGATAAAGTTTAGCAGTTCATCTTTTGTCCTGAATGAGTTGAGGTAGACCTGCGCTGTAGGCTTTTCATTGTACATCACGATCCCCACTCTGACTTTGCTTGGACTGATCTCCAGTCCGTTCATGATAGAGTACAGGAAGGAGCGCACCAGCTGGAAGTTTTGGACGCCGATGCTTCCCGACTCGTCAATGATAAACACAATGTCGGCCAGTTTGGCAGCTTTGCAGTCTGTAGAGAAATTGATAAAAATCTAGTTACATTTTTTTTTCTAGATTATCCTACAAATCCAGATTGATCATGCGTGGCACCCTCAATTTCTACTCATTATCATTCTTGTTCCCATTAAATCTGGTGTTCTATCAGATCAGCATACCTATAGTCAATACAAGACGTCACATTTACGTTTATTCCTTTGAGTTTTGTACAAAAAATACACTTTAAACTATTTCAAGAGGCGTGTATCCCTTTAGTCCTGTACAAAAAAACAAAAACAATTTAAGGTCAGATCGTTATTATATCAGAGTATTAGAGCCAGGCCAGGGATTTTTTTAATTTTAATTTTTTGAGAATAAAGTCGTAACTTTACGAGAATAAAGTCGTAACTTTCGGAGAAAAAAGTTGCAATATTACCAGAATTAAGTCATCATACAACAACCCATTTTAGAAGGAAAGCTCGGAGCTCTGACCAGCAGATGAGTTTTTGTACATGACTAAAGGGATACATGCCTGTTGAGGTAATTTAAAGTTACGTTTTTGCACAAAACTTAAACGATAAACAAAAGGGATAAACGGGTATTGACTAGGGGTATGCTGGTCTGACCAGGTATGCTCATCTGACAGAAGACCGGTCAGATTTAATCAAAGGAGCCCGTAACGTCCACCTATTGCACGTGCAATTAATTAATTTATTTTATTTGCTTATTTAGCTCTACTTTTTTGCAATATCTGTAGACCAGGCTCCAAATGTCGTCGACTAATACATAATTTAGAACCCAATTTCTTGTAGAAATCATGTGTCAAAAGAAAGGCCTTTCCGAGTATCTGCTACAAGAAACTAGCATGAACATTTTCTTGATGTTGGAAGAACACTTGAAGGTTGGACAAGTAAAGATTTCATTTAGCGACTTTCAAAAATCTTCCCAAGAGACCAAAAAGGATGATTATTTCCACATGCACTGATCAGATAAACTGACAATATCTTTGGGGTAAACATGAGAAAACATCTTATATCTTACCTAGATGAGTTATAGCAATAAATAATGAAGCAAAGCCATAGAAAACTAACCTCCACTCTGAAAGGTCTCCAGTTCCTCTGCTTCAAAGATTTGTCTGAGCAGAGGAACAAAGGTGGCATTGACCCGGTAAATGTATGGCGCAGTGGCGACCACACTCAGTTCTTCCATGGAAGCTCCAAGGCTCATCCCCACCACCGTGATGCCAGCTGACTTGATCAGGCGGGATTCTTTAAACACTGGATCTTTGGAATCCTTCGCACTCAGAACAACCAGGAACTGTCGGTAGCCTTGATCCGCACGACTTCCTGCCTCTTTGGTGAAGAAGTTAGCGCTGGCATAGGCCAAGGCAGAGCCCAGGTTTCGTTGTTCGGTAGATGAAGCCCGGAGATGTTGGACGCTGCTCACTGCTGCCTGGGTCTCCTGTTTGGTTTGGTGCTGGTTGAGGAGAAACTCCACCCTAATATCTTGACCATACTGGGCCAAGCCCAGACGGTATGCAGAAGCTCCAAAGTTAAGCTGTCTGGATAGTCTGATGAGGAACGATTTGATCTGCTGAAACTGAGATGCTGTCATACCACCATCCAGCAGGAAGAAGATGTCTGCAAACTTTTCCGCCAAAGCTGAAAGAAGCAAAAATCCTAAATAAGTTCTGCCTTCAAGGTTATACATGTTGATCTTCTTCATTCCAACCTAACCAACAAAGACCTCCAAACCAGTGATTGGCCTCACCTTGTCTTTGGTCTTCCATGGACACACAGACAGTTTGCAGCAGACCTTTAGTTAGCCTCTGCAGGGCCTGGTAGCTGTCGATGGTGAACAGGAAACGCTGTGATGGCTGGTTAGCGATATCCTCTAGTTCCCGTTGGTTGGCTTTGCCCACACCAATGGCAAAGACAATCACCCCCTTCTGTCGCAGTCGTTGGGCCGGCTCCTCCACCTCATCTTCCGAGTCTCCATCCGTGATAACAACGGCGATCTGAGGTACCCTCTGATTTGCTCTGCTCCCCGCCTCCTCTGTGAAGTACTCTGAAATCAGGAAGTCAATGGCTTTGCCGGTCTTTGTGCCTCCAGTCCGGTAGGGAAATGTGTCTATGGCAGTCAGCAGAGATGAGGCATCCAGGTTATCCTTCAACAAGAACTCTTTGTGAGGCTCATTACTGAATTGAGCCAGGCCGACCCGAACTTTGTCTGGGCCTATGTCAAGGCCAGAGACGACGCTTCGCAGAAACACCCTAACTTGCTGAAAGTTTGGGATGCCGATGCTGGAGGAGCCGTCGACCAAGAAAACGATGTCGGCCTTGTTGGCTATGGCACATTCTGCAAGGAAATAATAAGAAGGTTAGGAACTACAAAACCTGTTTCTGCACTTAAAATCGTAGGGAAACGGCTGTTCCAACAGTTGCATTTCCGAATTCTCCCGAGTAGTGCCGAACTTTACACGACTGAATAAATTAAATGTGATTGGGCGTTCATCAAGGGGGCAGAATTGTTTTGGCGGAAGGTTCGCAAGCAAGTTTGGTTGTGGCTGGTTTGTCGGAAGCATCTTGCTAACCAGTTAGCAACTTAGTGCTAGTAGGTTTCCAATGGGAAATAACATTGGGACCACGTAGCACTAAATTGGTGATGTCCGTCCTTGTGAAAACGGGGATGTAACTCAATGCTAAAGTAAATGATTCATATTGCAACAGTGCGTATATTGGCTGCGACATATGAATCAAGATGCTATGACTGAAAAAATTTGATTGACAGACGACCGTTGATATATGATTGGCCGAATTTAGGTGTTCAGGCTGACGTACTAGCCTGCAAAAGATAACGAAAATACCCCAACAGATTTTAAGACTTTTCTAACTTTTGGGACAATATCGTCTGATAAAGAGTACATTTATTTGCGTTTTTAAGCCAGAATTATTTGAAATTTAAATATGATTCCGAAGGCAGTACCTAAGGTTTCAAAAGAAACCAAGTTTGTGAGGACCTTGTGTTTCTGAACAGAAGTCCCCCGCGGATGTGGTAAACACAGAGATGTTTTTGAACGCCAAGTGTGTCTGACCCTCAGCAAGTCAGAGCAACAAGTTCTTCTGAGCACCAACTGTTTTATATTAAATAAGATAACTGTTAATAAAGATATATGAGCAGGTGTCTAACTTGGTCAGTGTTTCAAAATTAGAATTTACATATAAATTACAAGTTTATGAGGATGAATTACCGCTTTACCAATACCAACTGCAACTGTGCGAGTCATATTCACAAATTTAGAAGCACTAATAACAAATTACCAATCGCAAATTGCAGATGCATGAGTATAAATCACTACCTTACAACTACCAATCACATCTTTACAAGTACTCAACAATAATTCCCATGTACGAACCTTACCACAGATTAAGCTTTTCCACTTCTTGCTAGTCGGTGGTAGTCATAGAATTTATATATTACTTTATATGACTTTAGTAAGGTCATATAAAGTAAAAAAATCTTTATTAGAATTCTTTAGTTTTTTAAGGATAGAAATAAGTAGTTTTAGTACTGTAATTACATTATTTATGGCGACCTGGATGAATATATGCTTGGACAGGCGCAAATGAGCTGATGGTACCGATCGTACCTAAAACTCAGTCTCCCTTAAAAAACCCGGTAAAATCAAATTTTTGTGACAAACCGCAAACGACTTAACTTTCAATTTTGATAAAGCTTCTAGTTAGAGTGGCTCAGGTT